GGTTGGCTAATAATCATGTGACAATATGTATATTGTTTACATTTATTAACCAATCAAATCGAATGTCCGCTATGCTGTTTGTACCCGTTGAGAAAATCAACCCGGGTTAACCCGGATGAATACTATGTTATTAAAGCAAAAATCTTTACCCGGGTGACTAAAAATATTTTTTTTTAGATATGTAAAAAAAATTTTTTACATATAAAATTTTTATCCGGCCGGCCGGGTCACTTATGTTATGAGAAACAAAAATTAATTTTGTATGGCCTAACAGAAAATTTATTGTAAAAAGCTTTTTAAAGAGCACGCATATACTGTATAATGTGAAATCCTATAACTTTTTTTAAAAAAAAAATTGTATTTTTGATTAATAGAGATCCTGGTTCGCACCTAAGTATTTAACGGGGTAATGAAAAGGGCATATATGCAGTCTATCATAATAATTATCTAAATTATCTCAAGCACTAGAAATTTTGAGATGAAAATTAAGTTCTCAAGCACCAGAAATTTTGATAAGTTCTCAAGCCCCTCCCTCAAAGTGATTGGATAGTGATCGAGATCGTGCACAAGCATTACCGTTACAATCAATTGAAGAAATTCTTTCATAGTGCGAAATGCAGAGATTAAATTTTTAGACAATCAACAGATCTGAAAACAAAAGCTTAAAGCAGTTTTTTACATCTACCAAGAACTTTAAAGTATTTCTTAAGTAGGAGGTGTGGCAAGGATCCCGTTTCTCAGGAATTTTTTTCACACGCAAATATAATTTACGCTAATAAGTAGAAATTAAAATTTTTCTCAGATTGATATCCTTTTTAATCGCACATGTTTATGGACTTTGTTTCTTAATATTTTTATTAAACAGTGTCAGAATTATTGTACAATTAAAAAAAAATATATTGGCTTCCTTGTTTTATAACAACATGCAATTTAAATTAATTCAAGATTAAAATTTTCCATGAGAGATTAGGAAAGGTTTTTTTTCCGGTCTGGTTCTTACATTAAAGATTAAGGAAAAGGACTTTATATGTAACTGGTTGTACGATTCGATCTTTAATTGTTTTGCGAAAATATGTGCAAAGGAGATAATTAAAAATGGGTTGTTTCGTATCTATAACGATAACATCGTACGATTACCATCGAATCAACGGAGTATAGGAATATTGTTGAATTTGATTAGTTAATATAAGGTATGTACTGTAGTGGTAGATTACCCGAGCTATTGGTAATGTAATAGCAAGTTCTATCTAAGGGTTACGATTTACGCATGACAAGTCTCCTGAATTAACCTAATCTGGATATACAGTATGTAGATAACGATAAGTTTATTTATCATCTTATCAGATAAAATTAGATTATTAAATGATCACGATTCTTGCACAAGTTCAATTCAAGTCTTTCAGTATTCTTATTCAAGTTGTTGAAAAGAAACGCAAACGTATCTGGTTTTCTATTTGCGTTCTTTAAGGTTTGTTCATGTGAACTTTCTCGTGCACTTCTCGTGAATTTTTCTTTCTTGAAATCAATATTGTCCCGACTAAGTGTAACAATATAATCTTGCAAGGGGGTGAGATTCTAAATTATATAAAATCATATGAAATAAGAGAACCTTAGTTTTATATGCTTTTTAATTTTTAATTATTTTGATTGATCGAATTGATTCAATTTATTAAAATGATCATTTAACTGATTTTAATTACTCAAAAAAAGGAAAAAAAAAATCTTTTGCATTTATTGTTGTTTTATGCTTCTTCTGCCGCAAGCAATGTGTTCTGAAAGTATAAATACGTTGACTTTCTTCTTTCGTTCTCCTCACGATTGCAACAGCAGTTGTAAATAATTAAAAAAATCTTTCCACATTCTAACGTTAATATATCATTCTTTAAAAATTCTTATTTTAAAATTATCATAATGAATCCAACTTTCGGAAACGAAACAACCAACCACCAACATAAGATCGCTGTTTGTTCAACAGATAATTGGTTTGGTAACGTCATTGCTAGGAGTCTTATATTGGATTGCGGTAAACGTAGCGTCGTTACGATCCGTTGTTTGGCCCAAGACACTAATAACAAATGTGTCAAGAAACTTGAGCGTTTAGGTGGTGAAATTCATAGGATCGACTATGAACGTCCTGAAACAATTAGAAATGCTTTACACGGTGTTGAATTCTTAATTTTCATTAGTGAAGCCGATAAAAATCGTGTTAAAGAAGCTAGAATTATGGCTGATGTATGTTATGAAATTTCTTTCTTTAATTGTCCCACATGTAGTCTCAAAAGGTTTCAAAATTTTATCGTTTGTCCTTTTTTTATTTTTATTTTCTTTAGGCTGCCTCTGAAAGGGATGTTAATAACGCGATCATCATGTCGTTGGAAGGTGCCGAAGATGGAGAAGGAAAAATTTTGGGTGAATTTAGGGAAATGGAAAAGGTTGTTGGCGAGAGGATGAGAAATTCATGTGTGGTCAGGTAAATATAAATTTATGATTTATCGTTATATCTATTTCTGCTTCAAGCAATTGATTTGATCATTCATTTCATTCTAGAAATGCTTTCCTTCAACAAGCTGTAAGTATTATGCAGTTAAAAAAAAAAATATATATACCTATCTTATCTTATGTTTGTGTACTAACAACTTTTATTTATCTTTACTCATTTAGTTCTTCCTTTGGTCTCCAAATATTGAAGACAGGGGAGAAATCAACATGACTCCTCGCGATAGTAATGAATGGGCTCCTGTTAATCTTGACGACATTATCTCTGCGATTGTATGCTTAATGTTACAAGATGGCAAGATGGTATCCGAACTCAGCAAAAAGAATCGGAACAAGGTCTATTGTTTGACAGGTCCTGAGCTTACATGCGGGCGTGGAATTGCCGATACCATCAATCGAGTTATTCAAGACAGGGGTGATGTTGAATACAAAACTGTTAATCGTCGTCAACTTGAAGATTACCTTAGCAAGCTTGCTGAGGAAGATCGCGAGCGTAATCGAGACTGTGATCGAGATTGTGATCCAAACCTAGATGATATGGATGATTGTCTTCTTGAACAACGTGATGGCATTTATTTGATTCAACGTGGATTAGCCTTGTTACACGAGTGTCTCGCTAATTTCTTCAGAAATACTCAACAATCTTTGGAATGTGGAAAGTTAACCTTTATTGAAGGTGTCAATCGGCTTGTTTCGGCTACAACTTTATTCGATGAAGTCAATCGTCAATCCT